TTTTGTTTTTTTAACAATGTTTTTTTCTCTTTTACTAAAGGTAAGAGGTTTGACTCATAGGGAAGAGCCTTCTTGAGTTTAAAGAACTTAGACCATGCTACTGTCTCTCCCTGTGCGGTGTGGAAGGAGCAGTATTTCTACTTGTGATTAAGATACTGAGTAAGAGCATGGTGTATCATGTTTATAATCCTAGCATGTGGGATGTTGAAACAGGAGGATTGCTATGAGTTCCAAGTGAGTCTGCGTTACATAAGTAAGTTTGAGGCCGACCTAGGCTACAGAATGGGACCTATCTCAAAAAGTAAGGTGATTAAAAAAAATATGCCAACTTCGAAGAAATCTATATTTTTTTCAGATTAAAAATGATTTGGTTAATGTAGGGTGCAAAAAATCTGTTCTTTATTAAAATACAAAAGTACTCGTAATGATTGCTGAGTCCTCTTAGGTCTAAAGGACATGAGTTATTTTGGTTTTTTGTTTGTTTGTTTGTTTTTAATCTTCCTTTAAAACAAGAAATTAATTTTGGTTCCTACAAGGACACAGTTCTGTAAAATGAAACAATATCCTCTTCTGCCTCTTAATTTTCACCTCATCATATCCTGAGTACATTTTAAGAAAACCCCATGCTCGGGTCTATAGGAAATCAATCCCTGCTGTTAAAGCTTATAACCCGTCAACGTGTAGCCACCTTTGCATACAACCCCACCATACACAGTTAAAAGCAATCTATGACAATAGTCAAAACAGATATAGATCATGTGTCACAGAGGTGCACAGAATAGGAAGAGCAATTCCTGCTTGTCATTCGCAACTTTGTTGAGAAAATGGCACTCGACCTACTTTAGAGAGGAGGTGGGGTATCTTCAGCCTCCAACTCCAGCGCTTGGGAGACAGACACCAAGGAGATCTCTATGGGTGTGAGGCAAGTCTGGGCTACGAAGTGAATTCTAAGTCTGGGTTAAATGAGACTGTGCAAGGAAGAGGAGTGGAAGGAGTAGGGGGAGAGAGAGAGAGAGAGATGGAGAAGGAGGGATGGAGGGAGGGAGGGAGGGAGGGAGGGAGAGAGAGAGAGAGAGAGAGAGAGAGAGAGAGAGAGAGAATATGAATGTCAGACTGCAGACTGCAAGAGATCCTATCTGAAGATGAGGGTTGAGTGGGGGTCCTTTCCAAACATATTGTTGAGTTGAGGTAAATGATGAGGGATATGGTTGGACAGCCCTTTTCCTACCCTGTCACGACCCCCTCCTCAGTCCTTCCCCTGTGGCTTTTCTCAGCATACTGCTTTTAGTCATTTAGTTGCTGAAAGTATCTCTATGTCTCTTATGCCCCAGATCCCACTGAGTAGGTGGAAGCAGCTCAGACACTGGCCACTGTTACCTGAATAACACAGGAAGCAGCAGAGTAAGAATGTCCATGTCCCATAGTCATCATTTTCTTTGTGTTACATTGTTTGTTTTTACTTTCTATGTTGTGATACAAGGACTTGCACTGTAGCCCATGTTGGACTTGAAGTCACTAAATAGACTCCTCTAGCTTCCATTTGAAGCAATCCTCCTGCTTCAGTCTCCTGAGCTCAGACCATTCTCTACTGTGGACAGAGCTAAACTGAATAGACTGTTTAGCTCCCCTTAGGTAAAAAAGCCACAGGAGACCTGTGACAACTTTGCAGCCCATTCCTTGTTGCTATACACTGTACTACTGACGCTCTAGACCAGCCTCTTCACAAGCACCTTAGGAAATGAGAAGTCTAGGCCAAAGAGATGGGTGGGAGAGTTAGGAAAGAAACAGGGTTTTGGTCCAGCATCCTTCCTGCCCTCTTTCTTACCTTGCTGGCTTGGAGCATCTCATCTTCCCTGCTGCTGTCTCTCCCTGCCCTGGATTCTCCTTCTGAGTTTCAGCTTTCTCCCACTGATGTGGCCTGGCCCTGCCTTACCCACCTTCTTCAGGGCCATCCTGTCTTGGGTGACTATCACTTCTCCAGTTCCCAGGTGGCTCTGTTGTCTCAGGTTGTGGGCATTTACTTCCTTCTCCTCCTCCCTACCCTCTGGGCATCCTGTCATTTCCTATGAAGTTGAACTCAGGACCACTTGGTGATTTCTGTAACTGTCTTCCCTGTGGGGATACACTTGGTCCTCCCCTGGGTGACATGGAGACAAAATGACTGGAGGTTGAGAGGGCCCAGGATAAAAAGGCCTTTGCTCAGATTGGGAAGGCAGACCAAGTGTGCTGCATCTAAAAGAGATTCAGGGGTCATTTCAAAGGTGGACATAGTAGACTGTATATCAGTATTGTGTTGGATCATAGCGCTGAGTTGGACCCAGAACCAAGCAGTTCTTTTGGTGACTTGAGGCTGTGGAAAACCAAGAGCAAAGTGAACCAAATAGTCTTGACTCCATAATAATTAAAACTTATCACAAGACACCAAGTGATCTCTCAAGCAGGAATGCTTTGTTGTGGAAGCTGCTGCTGCTGCTGCTGCTGCTGTTGCTCTTGTTGTTGTTTTGTTTCTGCAGTGCTGGAGAATGAGCCCAGGGCCTCACACATGCTGAGTGAGCACTTCACCTATACTCCTCGCCATCTTTTCATGTTTTATTTTGAGAATGGGTCCTGTTAGATTGCCCAGGCACACTTTAGACTTGCTGTCTCAATGCTTGACCTGTGGAGTAGCTAGTGACAAGAACCTGTGCTGCCAGCCCTGCTGTGTTTCACTCTGGAGAGTCACAGTGAAGAACAGAGAAGCCACAACATTGGTGTTCCTACAGGACATGTTTTCTCTTGTACTTTCTGCACCCCTCCTCACCATCAAGCAAAAAGAACAAGAATTCAGGAGTTATCTGTTTCTGTTAGAAGTGGGATCATGGGCTAGCTGCAGGGGTGAAGGTCTATAATCTCAATGGTAGCATCACTGAGACAAAAAGATCTCAAGTTCAAGGCCAGCCTGGGTTGTGTAACAAGATAGTGACTCAAAGCACCGAAAGCCGAAAGGATGTAACTCTGGTAGAGCACTTGCCTACCATGCACAAGCCCTTCGGTTCAATTCCCAAAGCACCACAAAATATACATAAATGAATAAATAATAAATAATAAATAAAGACAAGATTGTGGATTAGTTAAGAGTGTAACCACTGAGCCTGGATTTTCTTCTCCCAAGTATTGAAACCCTGGGGTTCATATGAGCACTAATTCATACAGTATGATTTCCAGTATAAAATAAGCTCTATACAATTATTATTATTAATATTATTATGTGTCTTTTTAAAACCAATCACACAATCCAAAGCTTGAGCCTAGATGGAACAAGAGGCCTGGGATGCAATCTATACCCTCAGGTAATTTATAGTCTAGTTAAGGAGCCCACTATCCAATTAAGCCCTGAGAGTCCCTCTGAACAGATTACCAACATTTGACCAGGCCACACCCCTAGGATGGTGAGAATTCAGGACAGGATAGGAGCCTATGGTGAGCACCTGCCTAGCTGTGAGCACCGAGGAAGTCTAAACTGCAACATAGACAGCTGATCAAAAGAGCTGGGGAAAAAATCTCTTTTAGCTATCGACTGTGTCTTGTCTACCTACTCCAAATTCAGCTGCCAGAGCTTGTCAACTGCAGACTTCCAAAGCTTCCAGGAAAGACTTAGCTCTCTGCAACATGAAAGGCCGTGTTGTTAGTGGTGCTTCTGTTCTCATTTCCCTAGCAATCACCCTCCTGAACCAGGAATTTTCATTCCTGTTTTAGGATGAAGCATTACAGAATGCTTTCCTATAAACTTGTGTGTGTGTCTGTGTGTGCATGATACATATGTATCATATATATATATATATATATATATGCGCACCATATTTGCAAACATATGCTTCAGACTCAACACATCAACACATATGTACTCACCACACTTGCTATGCAATTGCTATGATCTTGGCCTCCCCCTAAGAAGGTCCAAATTCTAATGTCTCTTATTCCTCATCCTCCATAAACATCCTGCCCCCTTTCCCTCTGACCATTTGAAGGTTCTGTCCTGCATGTTCCTCTGCCAGACATCCTTCTAAAACCAGAGATTTGGTTTCTAACACATGGTTTGACCTGCTCTGCGGCAGGTGTGACAGATCACCTACCTCCACCTCTCTCTCTCTCTCTCTCTCTCTCTCTCTCCCACCCAGCCCCGCCCAGGACAGTGATTCTCTGTGGGTCAGGACTCCTTGGGGTTCCACATCAGATATTTATATTATGATACATAACAATAGCAAAATTACAGTTATGAAGTAGCAGCAACATAATTTTATGGCGGGGGGGGGGTCTCCACAATATGAGGAACTGTATTAAAGGGTGGCAGAATTAGACATGTTGAGAATCACTGCCCGAGGAGATTCTGAGGACAGGCACACGAAAGATAATATGGGTGAAGCTTCCAGTAACTTTGCTTTTTGGAAAGATCTCAAACCACTCTACAGATGTTGCCTAGCCCCAATTACAGTTTCAAACCAGGCCTCCAGAGCAGAGATTTTTAGACATTATAAGAAGTGTGTGTGTTTGTGTGAAAAGAATTTGAGCATGCACCGGGGAACAAATTTAGGAGGTGAGAAGCAATCACTAGATCTGTGTGTTTATGCATATGGCTAAGGAGGAGGCCCTCCGTGTCTCACTTGTGACGTTTAAAGTTGGAAGGTTTTAGATTCTATTGCTGAATGACCCTGATGAGCAAATAGTGTAGGAGGAGTAAATTTGCAGATCTCCAAGTGACTCTAAGCTAAAAGGTCTTGTGTTAAAAAGGCCACCAATACTCTCTAAGCCTGACACCTAAGCCATGTAAACTCTAAGATGGAGTCCCTCCTGTGTGGATACATAGTCTACGAGGAACTGAAATTTTCTACAAGAATAACTGTTATTTCTGCTTACTCTCTGGTTGTCTTGTGTGTGTTTGTGTGTGTGTGTGTGTGTGTGTGTGTGTGTGTATAAACTCTATGTTTTATCAGTATTTTTTTTCTGAACAGATCTCACAATATTAACTTTAAAAAAAAATAGAGTCATGTGGGCCACACCATTTGGAAATCTAAGGCTGGTGAATTGTTGCAGACTGTTAGACAGCCTGGGCTACACAGTGAGTTCCAAGGCAGCAAGGATGAAAGAGAAAAAGAAGAAAGCATTTGAACCTCCTAAGTGTTTTGGAGTACAGCTATAGTTTGCAGTGATGGATGAACTCAAATATTCAAGACTCTGTCAGACCGAGATGAGTATTTTAGGAACGTTTATTATTTGAAGTTTTATGTTCTAAAAGCAATGTTCTTAAGGAGCAACTGAAAACAGATGGGAGAAAATACCCAACAGAAACAGGTGAGGGTGGAAACAATGTTTCAATCAATGTTGAGTTTAGCTGTGGTGCCTCCTGGGAATTCATGAGCATGTTTATTAATTTGGCTTTAGCTGTTGGTGTTTAACCCCCTTTGCCTCTTCTGGTTTTCATTACCTATGTAGAAAAATACACCTGTATAAAGAAAAATCAGGAATTCAAAAGATGCCTATATTTGTGTCATGTATTGTATCAGATCAGATGAAACATTCTTCCCCTTACTTTTCATGAAATGCTTATTTTAGAAAAAAA